CCCCCCCCCCCCCCCCCTGCCCAAAAAGAAAAGGATTCTGACTCATGGCCTCATCTATCATATGAGACAAGTTTGAGAAGCAAGGCAGCTGCTTGAACATTGGCTAGGGGAGTATATGTAGCCCTTCCAAGGACTGCAACCTTGACAGAATGGAGAGGGTTGTTGCCACCTATGCTACCTATGATTTCAAGAGCAATGCCACCTGGAGTTTTGTGCTCCTGGTACAGTTATCCATGGCATCAAGGTTACAAGTGTGGTTTCCAGACTAATAGCAACCCAAAAATAAAAATAAAAGTCCTCAGTGATGCAACAGGCAGATAAAGGAAGAATATTTCACAATGGCTGCAAAGACGGATGATGGCTACAGCGTAATAGAAACCTTTGATCGAGTAGATTTTCTTTACCATTGGATTTCGGTTTTCTTCCCACAAAGTATTACATGGTAGCTAATCCATGACAGCATCCCCACGTTAAGGCACTCCCAAAAAATGTCTTCCTTTAATAGGAAATCCTATGGCAATGGGCAAGTGGCAACAGGGGCAGGAGCTAATGATTACCGGAAGTCCCTTGTCACAGTCCTACCTGGAGGCAATGATTGTGCACATGGAATAGACAGGTGTGTAATTCAGCAGCTGCAATATCAGCTGAGCAGGCCTGTTTAAGATCTGCTCTGCTCACCCCATAAGGGGAGGGGGCTAGAAAAGATGCCCTAAACATAGTCTGCCTCATTTCCCACACATAGTGAGATCATTCTATCTGTTGTCCAAATCTAGTAATGAAATTTGCAACTTGGGACATCCACTTCCTGATGGACAACCTTAACAGTGACTGACTGGGGTGAAGGACAACACTGGTGGCCAATGAGCTTGCACAATTTGATATTGACATTGCTGTATTTAATGAACAGATGCACAGAATAGGGGCAGCTCACAGAGCATGATAATAGCTGCACCTTTTTTTGAAAAAGGAAAGCCAAAAAACACAGGCACATCCAAAGAATTGGTTTTGCTATCAAGACCAAGACTGTTACCCAGATGCCAGAAAGTATAGTTGACATCAACAAGCATCTCATGACCCTTCATCTTCAACTGACCAACAGACAACATGCAACAGTCATCAATACGTATGCCACAACCCTTGATGCAGATGACAAAAGAAGAAACCTATTCTAAACTTGACCAATTCCTGTCACCTGTCTCCAAAGAAATA